TGGGGGGGGGAGGGGGGGGAGCGCGGGGACGGTTGAGCGGGGCGTGGGAGGGAAAGGAGGATGAGGGGAGTGGGAGGGAGGGGAAGGAGGAAGGGGGAGAGGTGGAGAGGCACGTGGAGGCGAGGTACAGAGACAACCTTGGCACAGGCGCACACAATCCAGCAGTTGCACTCTCCATAGTGTACCTTGGTGATGGTGGACCCCAGGTGGCAGTGCGCACCGACGAGGCGCAGCTTCCCCTCGCGCGCGCGGATCTGGTCGAGGAACCACCGCAGGCGCTCGTTGCGGATGCCGAACTTGCTGCTCTTGTTGCCCGTCGCCACGTACGCGTGCACCTGCGCCCATGACGCGACCGCGGAGCGGGGAGGGGAACGGGCAGGAGGGTGGAGGGAATGGTGGTTGGAGTGGGCGGAGGGGAGCGCGGTGTTAAGGCTCAGTGAGAGGTCACTTGGCGTCACGTGGATGTCAGCGTGTGCTGCAACATCCGTCGCATCACCCTCTCTCCCCGTTTCCCCCCCATTACCCCCCCTTCACTCTCCAGGACCCCGCCTCCTTCCCCCCATGCTAACCTGCGGGTCGACGTCGGGGTTGATGCGAAGCAGCACGTTGACGACCTTGCCGGTGGCGGCGGCGGCGGCGGTGACGTGCTCGAGGTCGAACTCGCTGTCGATGTTGATCAGACACCCGTGCTGCGCCGCCAGCTCCAGCTCGTGCTGCTGCTTGCCGTTGCCGTTCAGCACGCACCTGCCAGGCAAGTGGGGAGCACCACGCGTGGAGGGGGGTTTTGGTTGCACCACGCGTGGAGGGGGGGTTTGGTTGCACCACGCGTGGAGGGGGGGTTTGGTTGCGGGTGCAGCGCGCGGCCTCGCGAGACGCGCCTCACGGCGGCTCTTTCTGTACGCTCGTATGAGTAGTTCTACCATGGACAACTATGGACAGCTCGTATGTTCAACCATGGACAGTTTGTGCTGGGCTGCAACTATGGCGCCTAAGCAAGCGGAGGGGAGGGTTCACTGGGAGGGGTGACGGGTAGGGGGGATGGCTCACTGGGAGGGGTAACAGGGAGGGGAGATGGCTCACCGGGAGGGGTCGAAGCCGGCGAGGAGCGCGAGGCGCAGCTCGTTGCCGCTGACGAGCACGGCGCCGCTGCCCGCGCCGCACAGCGTCTGCAGCACCTTGAGGTTGTTGTTCGACTTCACCGCGTACCCGATAATAGACCCCGGTAGGCCCTTTAGCGCGTCCACATACGCGTTATAGTTGCGGAGGATCTGCGGACGGCTGTAGAGGTAGAACGGACGGAAGTTGTCTTCTTGCTGCCAGACCTGCTCTGCCACGTCAGCAACGCGCAGATCTTCGACGTAGAGGTAGCCGTTTTCCGTCTGCAGGTGAGCGCAAGGAGCGAGACGCGGGCGGGCAACACAAATGGCGGGTGAGACAGGGACGCGCGACGGCGACGACGAGAAGGCGACACAGAAAGAGAGATTCATGAGAAGCACGCACGACGGTGAGATTGTATGACGACACGATGATAACTAACGCGACGAGGCCGAGCGACCTGATCGGCCTCTTTGCAGCCATTGCATTCAGACATAACCCTAAATCTGACGCTTTATCCAGACATGTATAGAGAACGTCATTAAGTGAATGTCACCGACCCTCCCCGGCTCCTTACGTGGAATGCATTTGGCGCGCTGCTCACTGCTGCGGTCTCGCTCGCCACGGCGGACGGCACGATCCGGCTCGCCCTCGGATTCTCGGGCTTGCCGAAGTCCGCATTATTTGAAATGGACGCGCGCGGAGCGGAGACGGCAGACGCCACCGAGTGCTTCTTGAAGGAAGTGAGTGAAAGAGACTGCTGGCTAACAGACGACTTGCTCGAGAGGCTCTCGGCGTAGCTGTTAGCAACAGCGCCTCGCAAAAAGCTCGACACTGGGCTTGAAATGGCCGACATGGCGACCAGGTAGATTCGAAATCACCAGCTTCAGTATTGAAAGGCGAGAACGAGAAAGTGGGTGAGGCGAGGCAGGGATACGTTCAAAGGCAAGGCAGGGGCCGGATCGGAAATTGAAGTGAGGGAAGCAGGAGGGAAGAGATGGACACTGAGGCAGCTGAGGTGGCACCGAGGAACAGAGCTGATTGGATGCTGCCAGCGTGTACTCCATTTACGAATCGAGGTGAATGACAAATCTGCCTTGGGCCCGCACATGCAGGAGGGAGCAGTAGGCGAAAAGGCGGCACCAATGGATGTATCGTGTGCGCCTGTCTCCGCGTCTGATAGGCCTTCTCGACTCACGTGGCACGCTGCACTTTTGCTGATGCGGATGTGATCGAGCCAAACCCATCCTTGGTAGTGGCAGTCCGGGTTATTATCGTGCATGCCAAACAACAATTTATTCCTAACACGATTACTCCCTTTCTATTCACTCCTACTTCTCAAGTCTAACTAGGGCAAACTTTTGTTTCCCATTTAGTATCAACATTATGGGTGCCAATGCTCCCACTTTTGGCGAGGGTATGGCAACTGGTGCTATGGGAGCATCGGTCTGTTGCAAGGACAACAAACAGCAGCAAACCATGGCGTACAATCACGCGTATGAGGAAAAGTGGTACTGCTAACGGGGACCTTCTCAGTCATCCCCTGTGTAGAGTTTTGAGGGGTTAAACGGTGTGGTGGATTCCACGTCATACTGCGTGTCGCGCTTGACCCAGTGCGCGTACTTCTGCTGAAGCTGCTCCGCCATTCTCTGCGTCTTATCTCCCACCACTCTGCCCGAATACTCCACGCCACCTCCCATGGCTGGCGGCGTCGGCTCCGCCGGCTTCGCCGGAATCCACCGCCGGGGGGCTTCAGTAGGTCTTTCCGGCATTCGAGGAGCTGCACGAGCCTCCATCCGCGGCCGCCGAGGCTCTTCATATCTGCGGGTTGAGGCTCTAACGGGGGAAATCGATTCGTAGGCATCGCTATATTCAACTGCGCCACAACACTGCACGATGGCGGCGAGCAGCAGCACGACGAGCTGCGTGACGAAGAGCACGAGGTAGATGGCGCCCTCCGTGCTCACCAGCTGCCGCGCCTTGCCGCTCTCTACCGCCGGGCCCAAGTTCCCCACGATTACATCGAGACGCAGGAAGATGACCAGGAACGACGCGAGGAAGCCCGCGAGGGAAACCAAAAGGCAGAACACGTGGCAGTCAAAGAAGAATCCTGGCCGCGCAGCTGACACGACCCCTAGCAGACCGGATGCGACTGTAAGCGCGCCGAGCAGGATGAAGCCCCAGCCAGGAGGAAAAAGCGGCACGGGGCGGATTATGAGCATGATTACTATTGATGCGACGCCTCCAGCCAGCACGATGAGATTCAAGAAGCGCAGGAAATGCGTTGCCATGTCCACCATTGTCGCCTGAACTGAAACGCGATGCCTCGCCATCGTTGCCTTAGGAAATCTATGTTATGAGCTTCGCAAGGGTATGCGCCTGGCACCTATATTCTGTGTCTGTTCTGCGGTAAAAAGAACTGAAGGAGAATAATCGAATTCAAAAGTGGGAAGATGGAAGAAGCCTACAGACCACAAGAAGAACTACATGCCAGCTCCAGTCTAGTCGTGTCCTGCGTGGATTGCTTGGTTGTGCTCTTCTCACCTGCGCGTGCAAAAGTACTGCGGCTTCATGTGTGGCGAGATTGCCAAAATGCAGCGGAGCAGCAGCTAGCTGTTCTAGGTGGTGGCTGCCAAACAACAGACGGAGGGGCCCCAGCCCAGCGAGCCCAGTGACCTTATGCTGTAATGACGCAGGGGGTCTTGGCAGCAAAACCAAACCACGTCGCACCTGCCGTGAAAGCAAAACCAAGCCGAAATATAATTAGCGTTGATTGGTGGCGACTCAAATGTGTAACCCTTGCTGACTCGCGAACCTCGCATGACCAGTCGGGACTGGTGACCCTGGGCTGTAATGACGATGGACTGGAGCCGCGAATAATGGCGGCGTCGCGCCTTTAGGCCTTGTGGTTTTGGCGAAGCCCAGCCCTTGCTCCCCCTGTACCGAAAGCAGGAAGAATAAGGTGAAATGAGGACAGCAAGCATGGAATAAGAAACATCACAAAACTCCTCATCTATGTACCTTATTTAAAACATCTCCATGAAATGCTGAATAGAGTTGTCATGCTGAATTGACTTCTATAAACCACTAATATGTATCGTTACAATAAATTTCTGTGTGCATAAACCGAAGTGCATGAAACCAAACATAACTGCCGATATTACTGTACTACTCGACACGAATTAGCATGGTACCGTATCTCAATTCGGGTCATTAAAGCCACTTTGGATCATCACTGTACACTTTGGGTCATGGGAGGACCAATGGTATTCAAGTAGTATGTCTGAAATGTGCCTGATTGGTCTTCCAAGAATCTCGGATGACCAAATAGTGCATGACCCGAACCTGATTGGACTTCCAAGAATCTCAAACCTGAGTTGAGGATGAGTTCCTATTGAACGGCATCCTTATCCACAATGAAGAAAGCTAATTAACACTAGATGACCTGATGAAGAAAAGATCGGCCAAGGCTGTGGCGGTGCAATGATAATTAACGAGTTTCAACTCTTTGTCTGCATTCTTCATACAGCTGACCCACATCACTCATACGTTCCTTGCTCTGATCTGATGCTTTCTTTGTAAATGATATTGCTGAGTGAGTGCATTCTTCCCAACTACTGGAGCACACATTGGGTACTGATTATGCTTCTAATATAGAAGATCACATTATGGAAACGAACTCATTATTATGGGTAAAAGTACAGAGAAGTCTGCATTACATCCAGGGAATTGAAATGAAAATAAAAAGGTTGGAATGACATAAACAACCCATTTCTGTTCAGCTGCATCCAGCATGAAGATTCTCTTGCTCATTAGACATCCAACACCTGAATGCCAAGCCATCTGAAAACTTCATGCCCATCATTCCTACTACTGTTACCCGCACGCATGCGATCTATGGCAGGTCAGATTTGAGGAGGGCTCATGTGAGGCATGGTGGACTGCGGCAGGGAGACTGCAATGTGCGGCAGGGTGATCTGCCCGCCTGCTGCCTGCGCTGCTGCCTCGCCCTCCAGCAGCTGCACCACCTGTGAGCGCCAAGAGGGATGCAGAGATGATGGGCGAGAGTCAACCGGGCAGGGGAGCCTTGGTTTAGGAAGTGCAGGATGGTACGAGAGAGGGCACAGCTCAGAGTGGCACAGTGCAAAATAGGGCTGCCTTGGAGTGCATGCGAGCCTGTCCTCACATGGCACGCGTCATGTCATCCCGTGGGTCGTGCCGCTCAAACATGGTGGCACTCACATGGGACATTGCGGGGCGGTCATCGGGGTGGTGGTGCAGGCAGAGGAAGATGATGTGCACGAGGCCTCTCAGCTCGCCCTCATTGTAGTCGCCGAACAGCAGCGGGTCCACCAGCGCCCCCAGCTCACCCTTTGCCACCACCTCCTCCGCCTGCCAGTGCACAGGGGGACAGGGGAGAATGGGAAGGAGAAAGGGTGGTCAGGGGAGGAGAAGGAGCAAAGTGAGGAGAAGATCTGAAACAAGGGGGACAGGAAGCAAACCGGCAAGGAAGCAAGAGGGCACAAGGCCTTCCACTAGAAGTGCAAACAAAGCAACACGTGGGGTGTGAGTGCATGTGTGTGGATGTGTATGTGTCCCACGCACCCAGGTGACGAGCTTGGAGTCGCCGAGGGGAGAGCGGCCGGTGACGAGTTCGAGGAGCAGCACACCGAAGGCATACACGTCCACCTTCTCATTCACCGCCGCCCCCGCCAGGTACTCAGGCGCCACGTACCCCCACGTGCCCTGCACCTGCTGGGGGCCAGGGGGGAGGAAGATAAGGGGGAGAAAGAGTGGTCAGAGCAGCTCCACACAAAGACTAGGCGGGTGTAGAGCAACACAGCAGGTGCAGAGGGATGCAGAGCGGTGCAGCTGCTTCAAAGTGAGGGCGTGCAGTGAGAATCAGCGTGCACTTTAGCAGGCATGGCCTCTCTACCCATACTACGCACCCGGGTGGCAACATCCCTCTCATGGTCGTGTAGCATCTTGGCGAGCCCAAAGTCAGCGATGCGCGCCTCCATGTTGGCGTCCAGCAGCACGTTGCTGGGCTTGATGTCGCGATGCACGATGCGCGGCACACACCCCTCGTGCAGGTATGCCAGGCCCCGCGCCACCCCCAGTGCGATACGCACCCGCGCTGACCACGGCAGCCTCGCCTCCTGCCCGCCTGGATGAGGGGTAACGCAGGAGGGGAAGAAGTGGAAAGGACAAAAAGGGTGCACAGGAAAGGGTGGATAAGGGATGGATAACAAGTGTAAGCATCTGCCCATGCAGGTGGTAAGTGCTTAACAAATGAGTCGTTCCCACAGCAGGGAGCAGGGGGACAGGAAGACAGGCAGGCAGGCATCTCACCATGAAGGTGCTGCGCGAGGCTGCCCCTGGGCATGTACTCGTACACAAGCATGCGGTGCTGCCCCTCACTGCAGAACCCCACCAGCCGCACCAGATGCCGGTGCCGCACAAGGCTGAGCAGGTCCACCTCCGTCTCATACTCGCGCTCGCCCTGCCCGCCCGCCCCCCCCTGGCCCTCGTCCCAGTGCAGCACCTTGATGGCCACGGCCTCGCCCTCCTCGCCCTCGTCGAGGGCGGGCAGCATGCCGTGGTACACGTGGCCGAAGCCCCCGCAGCCCAGCAGCGCGGTGGGGTGGAAGCCGTTGGTAGCCGCAATCAGCTCGTCCAGACAGAAGAGCAGCGACCCCTCCAGCCGCGCTGCTGCCGCCTTCTTTGCCTTCTCCGAGAATACTGGGAGGGGGGGGACAGGGGATGGGAGGGGGGGGGAACAGGGGACGGGAGGCAGGAGAGAGAGCAGATGTGAGAACGGAAGAGGGGATGTGTGCAATGGGACAGAGAAACGATCAGGAGTCAGAGGAGTGAGGTGGAGGAAAGGAGGAGTAAGCATGAGCGAGAAAGATCAAGAATTGATGGGTCACCTTTGGTCTTGCCGCTAGAGTCCGCAGACGTCCACTTGCCGCTGGCCCCCTTCTTGCCGCCCGCCGCCGAGTCAGGCAGCCAGAGGCTGACAGCGTCGGTGGGGTCGGCCTTGCCCTTGAGCACCTGCTCCTCCTCCTTCCTCCCTGCACCCTCCACTCGCCGCATGTGCACCAGCACCAGCGCTGCCAGCACCAGCGCCGCCACCCCCGCCACTGCTGCTGTTGCTATGCCCGCCACTGCTGCAGGGGACAGGCCGGAGGAAGGCTGCTGCTGCTGCTGCTGTGAGGCATGTGGCGACTCGCTAGAGGCAGCAGTGTCAGCCTTGACGGGGGCGCGGGCCGGGCGCGCAGGATACCCTGGGTGGTTGCAGAAACCAGCATTGCCGTCCAGACTGGTGGGTGGGGGGGGAGGGGAGGGAGAGATAACAGGTGAGACGATGGAAGGAGTGGCACGCATTGGGAGGGAAGCAGGGCATGGGGGGTGTCGAGGGATTGCGAGGGGCAAAGGCAGAGACAGAGACAGAGGCAGGTTGGCGTGGTACAATGAGACGTGAAATGGGGAACGGAAAGCGGTGGAGAGGGGTGGAGGGGGCACTGACAAGAGTGTGGACTGCGAGAGCATGAGCTGCTGGGGAATGTCGCCCTCTAGCTTGTTGTGACTCACATCCCTGCACGCGAGGGGGGGATAGGTTGTTGGTTTACGTCAAGGGCGGGAGGAGGGTGGGGAAGCAGCAGTTATGGTTGAAGGAAAAGGGCACGGGTGTGAGGGAGCAGCACGAGAGATGAGGCAAGGGATGACAGGAGAGGAAACTGACAGGATGACGTGGCAGTGAGAGGATGAGGTGGCAGTGAGAGGAAGAGGAGCAATTGAAAGGTGAGACGGCAGGAGGGTGAGGCAGCACTGACAGCACGAAGTGTTTGACGTTGCGCAGCGAGTACTCGCCGATGCTCCCAGGCAGGTACCCCGTCAGCCCGTTGCTCGACAGGTTGCTGCCCGCCACACATGCATGGGGGGTGGGGGTTGGGACAAGTTGATTGGAACGCTCGAGAAGATGCATGTGAAGCAGTAAAGGGTGCATGGGGCATGGTGTATGCGTGGTGCATGGAGCATGATGCATGGAGCATGATGCATGGAGCATGATGCATGGGGCATGATGCATGGGGCATGATGCATGGGGCATGATGCATGGGGCATGATGCATGGGGCATGATGCATGGGGCATGATGCATGGGGCATGATGCATGGGGCATGATGCATGGTACACGGGCTAGCAGGTGCAAGCAGAGGTGAGGGGTGGGCGGGATGGGGCTCACAGAAAGGGCGAGAGCTCAACGAAGGAGCACTCCTTGTAGATCTGCGGGATGTCCCCCGTCAGGCCGTTGTTTGACAGGTCGCTGCACAGACAGCACGGCGGGCAGGGGCAGACCGGGTAGGTGAGGGTGAGGAGAGAGCGTTACATGTAGTAAAAAGAGAGCGTTACATGTAGTAGAGAGAGAGCGTTACATGTAGAGAGAGAGCGTTACATGTAGTAGAGAGAGAGCGTTACATGTAGTAGAGAGAGAGCGTTACATGGAGTAGAGAGAGAGCGTTACATGTAGTAGAGTGAGGGTGTGGTCTCAATGGACTGGGGGATGGACCCCGTCAGCTTGTTGCTCTGTAGGTCGCTGTGGTGGCGGGGCATGGATGCAGGGAGGAGGGAGAGAGGAGTAAGGAAGAGGAATAAGGGACGACTGCGCCAACAACGCAAGCGGCTGAAGCTGAAACTGAATGCTAGCCATTGCTCACATCTATGCTGCTTAACATCCATGCCTCCTGTCTAAGCCCCTGCCGTGGCCTCACAGGTACTGCAGCGATGTGGCGGTGGTGAAGTTGTCCGGAATGGCGCCCTCCAGCTCATTGGCAAACAGAATGCTGCCATTGGAGGGGGAGACAAGAAACGATGGCGGGAGGGGGGGGGGAGGGAAAGGGGAATGGCATCATATTGGAAACCATTGGAGACACGCGTTATGCTGTAACGAGGGCAAGGACAGAAAGTGCAATACGGAACGGAGACAGATAGAGGAGGAGGAGGAGAAGGAGGAGGAGGGGGGGGGGGGGAGAGGGAGCTCACAGGTTGACGAGGGCAGGCGAGGCGATGAGAGCCGGGGGGATGGCGCCTGAGAGTGAGTTGGTGGAGAGGTCTCTGGTGGGGTGGGGTGAGGGCCGTGTGGTGTGGTGGGGTGGGGTGAGGGAGGCACCGCGGGGAGAGGGGAGGAGAGGAGAGCGGAGATGAGAGGAGAGGAGAGGAGAGGAGAGGAGAGGGGTGTGCATAAGAGCAAGTGAGCAGGGCGAGCAGGCGAGCACAGGCCACGGTGGTTCTCCGAAGAGACAACAGGGGCGCTCATGCGAAAGGAGAAAAGGGCCATGCGACTCACGTGTGGCAGAAGGGGCGAGAGCTCACATGTGGGAGAAGGGGCGAGAGCTCACATGTGGGAGAAGGGGCGAGAGCTCACATGTGGGAGAAGGGGCGAGAGCTCACATGTGGGAGAAGGGGCGAGAGGCGAGCTCCTCAGGGATCTCCCCCGTGAGGCTGTTCATTGACAGGTCACTGCATGGCGGGCGCGGGGGGGAGAGGGGGGGAAAGGGGGGGAACATGAGGGTGGGTAACGGTTACAGGCACGGCGGGAGTTGGCACTTCATGTGAATCCTTTAAAAAAGGAACCGGCAAACGTGAAGGCGTACACATATAAGCTGAAACCACGCACACACACCCCTCCAGCCACCCTGCATGAGTTGCAACCATGCCCCCCTTTAATTCCCGTTTTTAAATGCCTCCCCTTATAGCTCCCCTTCGTTGCCCCTCCCCCACTCACACGCGCAGCAGTGAGGGCATGAGCGGCAGTTGCAGGTCACTGAGGCGCCCTGACAGCCCGATACGCTGCAGCGTGCTGCTCAGGCGAGACACAGGACGGGGGGAGGAGACAAGGAGCGTCAGCGAGGTGGAGTCAGACAGCTTTCTCTGCCAAACGAATTCAAGATCTCAGCTCATAGGCTCGGCAGTACAGCTCACAGGCTCGGCAGTACAGCTCACAGGCTCGGCAGTACAGCTCACAGGCTCGGCAGTACAGCTCACAGGCTCGGCAGTACAGCTCACAGGCTCGGCAGTACAGCTCACAGGCTCGGCAGTACAGCTCACAGGCTCGGCAGTTCAGCTCACAGGCTCGGCAGTTCAGCTCACAGGCTCGGCATTACAGCTCACAGGCTCGGCAGTACAGCTCACAGGCTCGGCAGTACAGGTGGTAGGTTGGGCAGAAGAGCAGAGAGGATAGGCGGGGGAGCTCACAGGTCCTGCAGGCGCGTCATGTTGGCGAGGGCGAGCTGGCTGCCACGGTAGTTGAGCGCCGTTGATATGAGCGCCCTGGGAACAGCGGGTAGAGAAGAGGGGGACACGGTTGGGAGGAATGTGGGGCGCATGAGAAGCATGATGGGGCACGGGACGAAGATGTGCAAAATCGGTTGGGCACATGAGGTAAGTAAAAGGAAGATGGGGGAAGGTGGGAGGAAGAGGGGGGAAGAAAAGGAGGGGTAGGGAGGGTGGGAGGCTCACAGTTGCTTGAGCTGTGTGAGGCCGTTGATGATTGGCAGCAGTGCTGTGGCGTTGAAACTGACCTGCCCTAACACCCTGTTCATCATGGGGGTCACGCATTCACACACACACACACACACACACATGCACACGCACACATCAGGCCTTCAGATCACTTATAGACATGCACGGGCTTGCAGCGGATGTGGATGCTTGGGGTGAACTCACAGCGACTCGAGGTTGGGGAGGCGCAGCACTGCAGGCGACAGCGACCCCTCCAGGCCCGCACGCAGTGAGCTGCAGCGCGGAGGGGGAGGGCGAGGTGCAGGGAGGGCGGACGGGTGAGAATGGCTGATCTGCAGGTACTGACATTTGAGGCATGGAGGTGCCACGCTGGCATACATGGAGGTGCCAGGCTGGCATTCATGGAGGTGCCAGGCTGGCATACATGGAGGTGCCAGGCTGGCATACATGGAGGTGCCAGGCTGGCATACATGGAGGTGCCAAGGTGGCATACATGGAGGTGCCAGGCTGGCATACATGGAGGTGCCAGGCTGGCATACATGGAGGTGCCAGGCTGGCATACATGGAGGTGCCAGGCTGGCATACATGGAGGTGCCAGGCTGGCATACATGGAGGTGCCAGGCTGGCATACATGGAGGTGCCAGGCTGGCATTCATGGAGGTGCCAGGCTGGCATTCATGGAGGTGCCAGGCTGGCATACATGGAGGTGCCAGGCTGGCATACATGGAGGTGCCAGGCTGGCATACATGGAGGTGCCAAGGTGGCATACATGGAGGTGCCAGGGTGGCATACATGGAGGTGCCAGGGTGGCATACATGGAGGTGACGGTGGCGGCGCCGGAAGCGGAGATGTTGCAGATGATCTCGGGCGACCACCCCAGCGGGCCACACGGGTCAAACTCGTCCGCCCAGTGCGGCAGCCACTCTATCGCGTTCGTTATGGCCCCCCGCACCGCCCTCAGCACCTCCACTGGTTCGCACGCACATGGGATCATGGAAGGGGGGCGGGGGAAGGGGGGAGAGGAAAAAAGGTTGAGGAGAGAGTGACAGTTGGATGGGACAAAAGGAGATTATCTAAAAGCACGATGGGATTGATACCCAAGAGGATAGCACAGGAGATAGGCTACCTGAGATGAAGCGATGGTTCAGGAAAGCACACAAAAGGAGAAGGCACACAGGGAGGTAACAGCACAGGATAAAGGAGACAGCAGGAGCAGAGAGCAAGAGCAGCAGAGCGGCGGCAGCACAGGCCGCTCTCCGGGGTTGGCGCACCTTCTGCCGGGTCAGTTACGATGGGTGCGGCGCTGCCCGCACTCCGCTGCACGTTCACCGCCGCGCATGGCGGCGGCAGCACAGCGAGCGCCACGGCCAGCACGAGCGGCAAGAGATGGCGCACCGCCATGACGCCATGGGCGCCTGTCTTGGTCCGAGTCATTGTTGAGTCGCTTCACAGACAGTTTCTGTCTCTTCACGCCTCGCTAGCTCATTAAGATGGCGCTCACGACTAGGGGTGCGTCCACGCACGGAAAACCACGTGTTTTTGACCATAGAAGGTTTCGGACGAAGTTTATTACTGCGAGCCCCTCGTGGGGAGCACGGGCAAGCAATAGCCAACGGCAGCGTGGCGCGCATGCAAGCAGAAGGGAGGGGCAACCCGTAGCAGGTCAAATTGCTGGTGCGAGGTAGTAAGGCTTTTCTGCTGTTACAGCCGTGGTTAGACAACCTCCTTTCAGAAAAGAAGTTATTGGGGCAACCTGCGGCGTTGCTAGTACTATCAGAGTATCTCGCGGCGCAACAGCCGCTGTGCAATGCCACCATGGTGCCTGCCAAGAGGGCAGGAGTGCCAGCCGAACCGCGTTGCAGCTGGCGGATGTCAGGGCAGGGGCGGAGGGTGCGGGTAATTCCAACCGTCGCCTGCTTGGCGGTTGCGTTTAGCGACTAGTACCCCACAGTAGAGAGAAACACAACCGTCGCTGGTTTACGCGTTTCAAGATGCCGCAGCAAGTGAAACTTGCAAACCAAATCTTAGCCCGGCTACAGAGAAAATTGAATGAGACTGTTCAAATGCAAAAAAAAAATTCCTCACTGTTTTAGTTCCAAATCACATGTTAACACTCTACCTTTTCACCAAAGTTTCTGGTGGTGCAGCGCAAGGTGCATAGGAACATTATCATGGACGTAATTATCCCAGTAACTTACGTAATATAATTAAATTTCTAAACAAAGCAGTATGATGCATGGGTACTGCCTTGTTAGTTTGGTGTAAGTTTCACAAGTGCACTGATTAGCCTATATTTCTTTTAACGGGGATAACTCAGTCTAGTGTCAAATTAGAGAGCACGGATTAGCAGCAGCGACTCTACAGCCAGCGAGTCATCATCAGCCAGCGATTGTGCCTCCACCACACTCGCCACGTGCGTCGATGCAGCCTGTGCGGAGGACGGGTTCGTCGGGAGAGCGAGGGGCGGTCCTTTAGACGGAGGTGCTAAGGTGAGAAAGGTGTGGAGAGGCGATTGTGGGGCCCCGTCGCCGCAAATCACGCGCGCCGTCTCATGGGAAGGTCGAACGGCCAGAACTTGTTCCTGAAAGGACGAGGGGGAGGCGGAAGGCGGAAGACACGGGGCGCCGGCGGGAGCTGCGGCAGCGCCACTGGTACAGGTATCGCGGGCGGTGAGCTGAGTAGCGGGTTTGCTGGTGACGGACTGGTTGCGCTCGAGAGGCCAGGGCTCCTTGTCTGGTTGCGATAAGCACCCCGACGACAACGGTAGAAGCGGGGGAAGCATGTGCGACACCTGCGGGCTGCCCGTTGTGCCGTCGTCGCTGCACGCGCTGAGAGACCCGCGCGGCGCGGGCCTGCACGTCGCTGGCGTGCTTCCGGGCCACTCGGCGGAGCCGTGCGCTGGCGGGAACGCCTGGGCTGAGGGCGGTGCATGCATCGTGAAAGCGGAAGCGACGACAGTGGGAGCTTGTGTGACGGCTGCTGCAGCACCGCTGTCGCCCAGGGGAGCCTGCGACGCCGCGGCCAGCGATGCGGGTGGCGCCCAAGCTACGCCGGGACTGCTGCTCGTCGTAGGCGATGCGGCAGCGAGCTGCGACGGAGGGGTCGGGCAAGCGGACGACCAACTGGCGTAGTTTCCAGCTTGCGCCGCTGCACCCGTGGTGGGCTGAAACGACCAGTTGGGGCCGGCACTGCTGCTGGTGGGTGCACACGGCAGCGCGTGCCCCGCTGCTGCAGCTTGACTCGCACTAGTAGGCGCGGGAACGGACTGCTGCAGCACGGGCGCCACGCTGGGCGCTAGCAGTCCGAGTTTCGCTGCTGTGCTGCCTGGCGACGGCGCGAGCAGGCGGCGAGGAATTCCGTCAACGACGATGTCGGGCGCCGTGTGCATGAGGCGGCCCAGCGCCGTGCCGTGTAGCGCCTGCATGCCGCGCGCGAACGCCAACGGGTCGTAGCCCGCCCGCGGAGCCAGAAGGGGCGGCGGAGGAGTCGTGGAGAAGGACAGTGGAGCAGAATTGTGAGCGGGAGGTGATGACAGGAGTGTGCGGGGTGTAGGTTGCGCCGCTAACAGAGAGTCCAGCGCGGACCCACGCGCCGTTGTGGATTCCTGGTTTTGGCGTGCTGCTTCGTGGACAGCCGGGGCCGTTGGCTTCGCGAAAGTTCGAGGAATGCCGCGAAGTTTCGCGGCACCTAGAGCCAGCGACGAGGTGAACGAGGAGATGGGAGAGGGAGTACGGGGAGCAGGCACGGCGCTCCCTTGGCCAGCGGGTGGCACCGATAGCTGAGGCGAAGGCGCCACGAGGTGCTTACGCGGGCGCTCCTGTCCGGCCAGCCCGCCATCGGGAATGGACCGCTTCTTGCTGCAGCTGCCCGCTCCTGGGCGCGGTAGAATGGCGCGAAGGCGCGTCCTATTAGGCTCTGCTACTACCTTCCCTGCGCATGCTGGGGGATTGCCTTGCGAAGGGAACGACGGGTCCATCGAAAGATGCTGGGAAGGAAAAGACGGGGGCCCTTCGCTGACGATGTTTTGATGTAAGACAACTGCTGCCATGACTAAGTTTCAAGTTTCCTCGAAGAATAGCTTCAAAATAAATACTAAATGAATGGATGATGGCGCCCGCTTAAGACGACGCGGAGTGGCTGATCAGCTGGTACCGACAGAAAGAAGAGACGCAGAGTGGTGCCACGCGATGAGATGCAGCAGCTCTGTTCCACTCTGCGCAACGACTCGAATTTATTTTTGAAAGTTTATTGGCGTTGTTTCATGCGCGCCTCATTTTGCTTTCACTGACTGCTGTTCGAATTCACCCGTCTACGCCACATGTCTGTTCTGTTGCCTGCGCTTGCCTCTGCCAGCTGAGACCAAGGCAAAAAATGAGGAGCATGGCACAATCTGTTGAGACGCGTCGCGTTACGGACGAGTCGCTCGCTCTCCTCTGATCGTGCTTGCCACCGTGGACGCTGACGCTGCAGTCATATCAAACGCATCGCTGAACAGACGGTGACAGCCACGCGACACATTGCGACGATCTACGAGGCCTCGGCTTCGCGAGCGCACCAATCTACGAGTGTCGCCCCCCAACCAGATCACGCCTGGTAGGTTGGTCTTGCAGACGGGTTCTGGCTCCAGCACGGCGCAGAGGGTCGTCGGCCTGTAAACGGAATCGTGCAACTTGAACCAGACCTTTCGCAACTGACCCCATCCGACTGACACCAGCGCTTCGGTTTAAAATGGGAATCTACAAGTGTAACGTTGGTAGCGAGGGACAACAAAAGCCTGGCAACGACCACTTTTACCATCAGATACTGCTTTGCCTAATACCTCCCACCATCAGATGGCTGTGGATGTTTGAATTCATTTAATGTTTTTTCATCCTTAAAAAACGATAAAACTCCTTCTAATATAGTTGGCATTTACAGACATCCTCTGAACTCTCAGTTTCCGTATTTTCATTTTGACCATAAATAACATGCTAGGGATAAATAACAACTGCTACGATTTCTCTGTTTTTTCTTCTATGAAATGAAGCCACCCTAAAATCGTGTGTACATTCACTTGGGAATGCCTTCTTCCTGTACGCTGTTTGCATCGCCACCTCCAACATTTTCCACGGTCACTTGATTCTCACCTTTCTCGTCACCTGCTGCTTCTGCGTTTGCGGCTTTCTTCTCACCTCCTTCCTCCTCCTCCTCCTCGCTGCCATGGCTCTCTGATGTCCTGCCTCCACCTCCCAGCGACCTCAGCGCGCGGTAAACCTTACCCCGTTTCGCACTCCCCTTCTCCTTATCCTTGGGCTCAAACACCACCCGCCCTCCCCCCTTGCCACTGCCGCTCCTCTTGTCTGGGCTCGCCTGCTTGCCCCTGCCAGGCCCGTGCTCCGCCGACCCGTGCTCGCTGCCCGAGCCTTTTCCCACGGAGCCGTCCCCCCCGCGGGGATGCGTGCCGGAGCCGGCCTCAGTGGAGGAGGCCTGGGCGCGCAGGGAGCGCAGGAGGTTTCCGATGCGCTTGGTGCGGATGGCCTGGCGCATGACATCGATGGGCAGCTTCAGGCGCCGCCGCAGCACCGACCGGTACCACACCTGGATGGTCGTGGCTGCCCGCATGCGCCGGTTCAACGAGCACAGGCTGCCAGGGGGAAGACACACAAGGCGGGAGAGGAAGGGGAGTTGGGGAGACAGGCAGAGCAAGAGAAATGAAGGAAGGAGAAATGTTCGGCCATGCAGGATGGGCCAGCAGCACAGGGTGTATGCGTGCGTGTGTGCGTGTGGGGTGGGAGAAGGGGGAGACGGGGGGAGGGAGGGAGGGCGCACTTGAGGGCGTGTTGCACTTGGTCGGACTGCATGACGGTGAAGAACTGCGTGCACACGAAGTCAATGTCCGCCGCCTCCAGAGAGAAGCCCTCCACGGGGCCAATGCAGCAGAAGGTGCGCTCCGACTTGGGCAGCATCTCCGGCATCACCGCCGACCCCACCTTCACATCGCCTGCCAGCGCACCACACCACAGTACGGTACGGCCGGGAAGGAAGGGGGGACAGGGTTTTAGGGAGATGCAGCACGGACCAATGAGTGGCAGCTGTGGTAGTGCATGGCAGCTGTGGTAGTGCATGGCAGCTGTGGTAGTGCATGGCAGCTGTGGTAGTGCATGGCAGCTGTGGTAGTGCATGGCAGCTGTGGTAGTGCATGGCAGCTGTGGTAGTGCATGGCAGCTGTGGTAGTGCATGGCAGCAGGTGGAGTGGCTGTGCAGCAGTGGGGTGAGAGCGGGCTGGACAGGAGTGGGTGGAGGGGGACTCACGGCGGAGGGAGCGGCGGCTGCTTTGTTTCTTGGACACCTCGGCATACTTCTCAATGAAGTAGACGAGCAGCTCCTCGCCCACGAAGTCGCCCTTCCCCAGCAGCACCTCCTCGTAGAACCCGGTGCGGCCGCGGTTGGTGGTGGAGCTCTGCAGCGTGCCACGCAGCACGAAGAACATGCGCGACACGGGCGAGCCCTCGCGCAGCACGACGGTGCCGTCGATGTAGAGGCGCTGCTTGAGGCGCTCGCAGATGGCGTCCAGCACCTGCTCCGGCATGCCCTTGAGCAGCACACAGTGCTACGCGCACACGCGGGGGGGGGGGGGGGGGGGGAAGGAGAGCGGGACGGGGGGAGCAGGTGAGGCAGGGAGTCAGGGAGGCATCAGGCGATGGGAGGGACATGATGAGCAGGGAAGCATGACGCGGAAGCATGACGTGGAAGCATGACGTGGAAGCATGACGTGGAAGGTTGGACGACGAGGAGGAGACACAGCAGGGTGGATTGGATGGACAGGAGCTGTACCTTGGTGATGAGCTCGTAGGAGAGGTGGCTTACCTTGGTGATGAGCTCGTAGGAGAGGTGGCGGCGCACGTCCCTCTGGATGTCCTCGGAGAGTGACGTCATGACCTCCTCCTCGTCCACGCCCTGGTTCACCGTCCACACGTACCGCTCCAGCTCCCGCACCCGCCTGCTCGCCACCACGCACACGCGAGGCGAGGCGGGGTGGGGTGGTGTGGGGCGGGGTGGGGGTGGGGAAAGAGTGTTGAGAGAGGGAAGGTGCGTGGAAGAGCAACACGACGAGGTGATGGATTGCATGGGTGTGAGATGAGAGATGGGAAGGAATGGGCCATGGGAAGGAGACGAGTGCGGAGGGGTGAGGAGGGATAGATGAGAGCGGAGGAGTGAGAAGAGGTGGCGGAGGGCGAGCAGGAGAGTGGGAAGGCGGTGGAGTGGAGGGGAGGACATGCCCCGAGGGCGGTCAAGGGCGCAGGCACAGCCTGGAAGGACAAAAATCCACTCGTGCGCCCTGGCAGTGTGCATCAAACAAACGCCGCTGCCCCATGACCGCACCCTCACATGGGCGCGCAGGCAGAGACGTACCTCTGCAGGTCGCGGGGGATGTCTCGCTGCGACATCCACTGCTCCAAGTCCCTCAGGTGCAGCCGGTGCTCAAACGACCTGC